CTGAAATGTTACTTCCTTAGAAGTAACATTCCTTGACCAATCTGTCTCCCACTCCACCATTTCCCATTCTCAATCTCATTACCCTTTGCTATTGACTTTATAGCACTGACCATTATCTGAATGTATTTTGCTTATTTATACCTATATTAGAAATGGTAACATACAAAGGTAAATTTCCACATTTATTATTTCTTAAGGGAAACTGGAAAAGTGGAATAGAACCTTATAGCTAAAGGCTTTGAATTCTCATTGAGGGGTTTTGTTTAATTTGCTTTTTTCTAAAGCGTGAATGTTTTAAAGTAGGGCAGTGAACTTGTCAAATGTTTTAAAATATTTGTTTAGTTAAAATGTTATAAAATGTAACCACTCCACAATGCTGACCCTAGTTTCTTACTGAGACTATTCATGTTAACCGGTTTAACTACATAGATTACTAAATATATGAACTGAATGACAAGAATATAAAAATGTTTAGATATAATATCTGAAATTAATTTGATGGCTTTAATTAGTTTTATAATAGAATTGTACAGTTGATTCCCAATGTACTTTATTAGCCTCCTCACTATTTCAGTGTAGGAGGCATAGAAAATCAGATGTCATATAATTTTAAAATTAGGATCAAGCCGTACCAAGGTTCAGTCTTCTACACACAGCCACAATGCAGTTCTGCTGGTAACTTTCAGTCAAAGCATGATAGACCCAGTTGTGTTGTAACCAGACTGGGTAATGGCAGTGCCCAAGGGATGAGTAAGGCTGAGCTCTTTCAGTCAGGTTGGGAATGGAAAGACCTCCAAAGGTCCATTTCAATTTAAATCCATTAAACCTTACAGAATACCTATTGTGTGCCAGACACAACATTCAGCTCTTGGTACACAAAAATAAGGTACAGTTCTTCTCTTTAAGGAGGATGAAATCTAGTAATTTAGCTCTCAGTATGTAGTATAGTTAAGTGAATTGCATAATTCTGTACAAAGACCAACTCATATTGTTTTTCCAAAATTATTCCAATTGGCTTTATAAATATTTGCCAGTATTTGAAATGTCTGTGTGGGCTTTTTTTCTTACTCTTCTCAGCTTCTCCAGGGATAAATACAATCAATATTTCCTGTTTCTTGCCTAGTAAGATGGGTTACTCACAATTTTAAAAATGTATTTATTTATTTAGCTCCACACATAAGACCCACTGGATGGTTATTTACATTTTAAAAAACAAATACAATCAATATTTCCTGTTTCTTGCCTAGTAAGATGGGTTACTCACAATTTTAAAAATTTATTTATTTATTTAGCTCCACACATAAGACCCACTGGATGGTTATTTACATTTTAAAAAACACATTCCCCAAATAACTTTTTTCAACACAATGTATAAATATAAAGTTTATTTAGCATAGTGTTTAGAAAAATAAGTTCACATCATTTCAGAAAACAAATAAAACACTTAACTGTCCAGGCATAAACCCCCATTACAGTACAACATACATACTTTAGATCTCTTTGGTTGGGTAATTAAGCACAGAAATGTTCTGGGACATGCTCTGTGTGCTATCACCTAACAGTGCAGTAAAGACTCTGTTACCCTACCCCATGATATACATTCTGTATAGTTTCTCTTTGTGTAAGGCACAGTAAAACTATATTGAGTATATAACTGGTTGCCTCTAAACATACAGTACATGCAACAAAAGAAAAAATAACTTTTTTGAGAACCCTGAAAGCCAAGAGTCACATGCTATACAATTCTGATTAATAAAACATATGGTGGTAATATTAAATCAACATAAAATGTATCAATTAGATACAAAATAACTGTTAGGCTCTATCATCTAAGTTTTAGGAAGACTTTGAAACATCTTTTGTAAAATGTGATTCTTTTCCCCAAAGTTTTCCTGAATTATTTTTATCTTTATTATGAGAAGATCTGTCAAAACATTTTAAAGAATGAAGAACTTGTGGCTATGTACTAATGCACACTTGTCTAGCATGTAGCAGGGCAGTCTGCCATACATGCCCAATAATCCAACTTTTAACATGCAGGATACAAGAGCATATGCAGGGAGATTTAAAGTTGGTGTGCAATTTAACTACGGATTTTCATCTATGGCTATAGCATTTACCTGCCTTTCATAACACAAGAAAGGCACTGAAATGTGTACAATTCAAAGAGTCTTTTCATGACTATAAATATACATGAGATACAAAGCAGTACAACACAGGTGCTCTTAATTGATTGAGGAAAAAATGCACCTTCTCTTTAAACAGGCTGTCCTTTACTAGATGTACCTAAGAGCTAAGTGCCAAATTCTGGCTGATAGAGTGCATAGACAGGCTCACACCAATAATCCAATAGCCAGCAGCAGGGGTTGGGGTCTGCAAGGAGTTATTTACCCCTATTATGATTCCTCTTTGGGGATCATTAGAGGGTCATTTGCAGCATCTTCAAGAATTGGTTATGTAAGAGGGAAATTCTGCCACATGAACTCCAAGGGCTCTGAGTCTGGCCCTTGGTATTGCAAAAAAAAACCATTTGCAATTCTGTGCAAGGAGATCATGGGGTTTATCTTATTCCATTCACATACACATTGGCTACATACCAACTGGCCCTTATTTTACTGAAAGAATAGAAAATAATAAGTTCTTTATAATGTGCATTGATTATTACCTGGTATATTGTGTAGCTACCTGGAGTAATTGTAGGGTTATAATTACATCATGTTGGGAGTATGAATGGATTTCCTGGGTAAGTCTTAAGTTTTGTGCTATCTTTTCTTTTTCATAAGGGAGAAGAAAGGAAGAACTCTGAATAAAAGAGAGGCTTATTATATTTTTGGAAGACATATAAAACTCTTCCAGTTATATATATAAAAAACATACATAACTTTTTAAACCTTCCCATTTCCCTTATTAGATGGGTATTTTTAAATAATTAACAAACTCTTGATATCTGTAGCAATCAAGTGGAAAACATCATTTTCACGTAAACTGCACTACAGAAACATGTAATTAATCTAGGTAACATGATCTGCACACACCCAAAGAAAAAACGAGCTGTAGAAGTGGTAGAATGAAAGAGAACTCTAAAACACCTGACTTTGTAAATGAATAAAAAACCAAAAAAAAAACATGTAGTTTCAGCAGTTTAGGAACATTCACCAATTCCATAAAAAACAGAATGTAAGTTCTTTATCAAAATGATGGGAGAGGAATTCTTCATAGGGCTCTTCATCTATGCCTGCAAGTTCCATTTGCAATTACAGCAAAAGTTAAGTTCTCTACGGCCCTTATTCAATATGTTCAGATGATGGGCATGTAGGGATCTAGAGTGGACCCTTTTTCTGATCTTAAAGGAAGCAAGATGTGGTAACCTCTTTATATGTTCAACACTTTTAAGTCATCTCTGAAGAGGTGACTTTTTTCACTTTTCTTGCTTTTTAGAGACCAGACAGTAACTATTCGTAATATAAATGTACTTGCATTGTTACATCTTGTGTTCAGAGTCCTGATAAAAACTACAACCACAGCTCACAATATTATCAAACAAACCTCTTACAGAAACCCAAAAGACTTACTTTTAAAGAAGACATGATAATATAGTGCAAACAACAGTCATGTCATAGCGTAACAACTGATTGAAAACAGAACTAAGTTTCAACAGGACAGAATTTCTTTCTTTACTTTAATATGGTTGTTTTCATAGCCTGCAGAATTGATTTTATGTGGTATCTACAATTTAATTGCTGTTATTTTCATTATAATGAAAAGTATCAACAATAATTACTTGTTCATCCATTTTCATGACAAACATTATATATAATATTTAGTGAAACTTAACTTCTTCAGATTTAAAGCAATTTTGTGGTGAAATGAACCCTGTTAGATAGTAGAAAAGAACCATCAGTGCTTCTGTTGACACTTCCGTACCTCACTACTAATAAAAAGGCCACAAGGTAAAAAGGCACATAGAATTCCATAGAAGACATATTTAAATGAATCAGAGTTGCTAAATAAAGAACAAGGATGTGAAAAAAAGTACCAAAATTCCAATACGGGGAGTTAGATTTTCTGTTTCAGTGTTATTAATATTGACTTTAATAGACTCCTGATAAAAATCATTACTTTTAAAATCCTACAAAAAGTAAAACTTTGTTGGAAACAATTATGCTCATTTCCTGTTCAAACAATAAAAATAAATTAAACAGTAAGAAAACATTTTTTTCCAGTTCATAGCGCCTGAAGTATAAGAGAAACATATACAGTATAAATAAAATTCACTGTAATTACTCAAATCCTGCTTATAGAACTGATATATTTACATTCATACTGAAGTTTGTTTCAGAGTTTTTAGTGGAGTTTCAAACTTTCTCAGCCACACTGAACTATCAGCAATCACATTTAGAAATGTGTAGAGACTTAAACCAAGACTTCCTCAAAAATGCTTAAGAGAAATGTGTGTGTGTGTGTATACATGTATACGGATATATACATGTATATGTATAAGCTCCAAGCCTTGAAAATATACCCTTAGAATAGTTTGGAGTACCATTTATGTTTCTTAAACATATCAATGCCCATGGAGTAAAAGTAAACAAAAATAATTGCATTGTTTCTAATGGTCTGCAGCTATATTTAATTTCTATGTTAGGTGTATGCATTTTTAATTTAAAAAACTATTTATCAAGTTACATTTTGACTAATAATTATATTGTCACCTAAATGATACACTTTGACTTGATACATTTCATCTTGTTCCTTTGTTTCCAACTATTTAAAAGAGAACATTATATGTGAACAAAAAGGCTGCAGTAATGCAGTTCTACTCCTGTATAATAACTGTGATCTTCATGCAGATCCAAAGTCTAGATCCAAAGTCTCTAGAATGCATTTACTTGTAAAAGTAGATTGTTTTCCTTTAAATGGGAAAATGCTTTATGTCCCTGGGGCTTCACGAAAAGATTTGCCCCTGATGCCAAAAAAAAAGGTGGGGGAGGTGATAAGGTTTATAAGTCTTGCATATCTTCATCCAACTGGACAGTTTGGAGCTTGGCGAGCTCTTTTTTGTCTGTTTCCAGATCTTCACAGACAGTCTCAACCATGCCATCTAGGACATATTTGGATTTGGAATCTAGCATCATTAAGCTGCTTGTTGCTTTGTTCTCAGAATTTGGTAAGAAATTCTCTTTTATGTTAGCTACTGATTGCAGAACCAAACGATGTTCTCTAACAAAATCCTGGTGTATTGTTGGGGAGGGGTGACCCACCTGGTCTTCAGCTGTAGAAACTATTTCCCCAAGGGCAGCCTGAGTCATAGGGACTGACAATAGGTCTTGACCAGTAATAAGAGAACAATTCTGAAGAGTTGCATAGTTAGTGTTGCTGACAGATGTCACAGTAGATTTGCTTGCCACACGTGTAGACATTGGCTGGCTATCAGCAATGTCAGGGTTTAGCTCACTGGCATTTAGTAATGTAGGAGGAGTGAGGGAAAAATTGTGAGTTGGGGATACATTAACTAACGAGGAGGCCAGTGGATGGAGGCCACTCCCTGTGATATTTTCAGAAGACAGGTTTGCATTTACTTGTGCATTCTGATTGACAGGCATCAACTGAGAAAATACCAGGCTCCTCTCCAAGCCTTCCTGTTTCACAGATCCTATAGTCTGGCCTGAATTAGGAACAGTGTATACCACTGCACTAGGAGTAAGAGAGCTCAAGAAAACCTTTCCTTGATGGACTGTAGTGGACTCACTTGTAAATGTGCTCCCATCTGAAGTGCTTGAATTTACTGAAATATTACCTAGAAAAAATAAAGTACTGATTATCATCGAGGGAGGTGATAGGGAAAGAAGAAAAGTTACTTTACACACACGATTTTTTCTCAAAGTATATTATCAATGAAGAAGCAACACTTCTATACAATCATTTAGCTCAATTCTGGTTCAGAATCACCTTGTGCACTTAAAGCTACAGATTCCCTGGCTCCACTCCTTGAAAGTCTGACTCAGTAAGTCCGTGAATAGCCATATATTTTTTTAACTCCACAAGTAATTCTGATGATGAAGTAGGAGTGAGAACTACTGGTTTAGAAACCAAGGGTGAAAAAAAGAGATCTTTTCCAAGTTCTGATTTCAGTCAAGTTTCTGGTTCATTTTTATTGACTTGCTTTCTCTTAATTAGCAGACACTAGAAAAGACAGATGCAAACTAAAATGCCTTTGTTCAGGACTACTCAGTAACTGACATAAAATATAAATGGAAATGTAGAAAATTTTACCACATAAAATGAGTTAGCCTGGCCCTTAAAAGTTAACCATATAAACCTGTACAGACAAGTTGCAAACTTTCACCAAACTAGCCACAAAGTAATGGCAAGTCAACAAAACATTCAAAAAGTTTTTTTCCTTTTGTTGTGCCAGTTCTGAATTTTTAGTGCTGTGGTGATAGGAACAATTAATGGTAACACTGAAATGTGCCTTTTAAAATACAGATTCACATAAAGGACCAGAGCTAATGCTTCTCTAAAAGGTTTGTATCTTTTGAGGCTCTCACAATAATGGTCTGTAGAGACCAGAAGTAGAAAAAGAAATGGAAGTGGAAAGCTGAGATGTTCAAATCAGATAACTCAAATAAAGTGCATGAATTAGACCCCCATCACTGTCAAATAAAACCCTCTTCTTTCTGAGTCATTACATAGGCACAGTGAAGTGACAGCAATATGATGATACAGGCCCTCAACTCTTGCCACTGAAGGAAAGGTGGATTCGGTGGGAGTCTTGGGGCAGAATTCAGATGGACTGTTTGCCCTGATCTTGAATTGGATGTTCAGTAAACTCTTTACTATTTTGAGAAAGCAGCCCAATATTAAAGGTAATTCACCTAAAACATTTCCCTTCTTGAGATATTATAATAACTGTGATAATATTACCACCTATATTGAAAAATCAGTGCCACAGGGCTTTCTTTAAATTATAAAGAAAGAAAGAAAGAAAGCACCGTATGTGAACTTTACTATATTGAAAAATCAGTGCCACAGGGCTTTCTTTAAATTATAAAGAAAGAAAGAAAGAAAGAAAGAAAGAAAGCACCGTATGTGAACTTTTAAAAAAAATTCACCACCAGAAAATATTCATCATAGAAATACTGGTGTTAAGAAAAACATTTCTAGAAATATTTGGGCTATTTCCTAACATAAATGTTTGTTTTGGGTCATATAAATCAAGAAAAACTGCTTTCATTTGAAGATGTTTGACTTCAACTTAAACATGTTTTAACATTTTCATGGGCTGCTAAATTTGTAGCAAAAAATGTCTGAAATAGATGTTTATTTTGTTGTGTGTGTTTGTGAAACTGTTTACCACTGTATATGTGAACAAAATGATCAGTTATTTTTTGATAGAGCCATAAATAATACATGTGACATTTTTTTCCCAATTGTTATTGAATATAAATAAAAATTATGCATGTGTATAAATTTTAACATATATAAATGAGGGGGAAAAGCAGATGTGATCTAAAATTTGATTTTTAAGTATATCTGCAATTGAATTAGAAATTGAAGAATAATTTCAAAATTAGTAAAAAAAAATCAAATTGAAAAAATCACGTAGGTATAAAAGTATAACTTTATAATGATGGTAAGAAAAAAACCTTATTTTCTCAGATTATAAAGTGGTAGGTATTTCTACTTTTCCATATAAATCCCAACAATAGAAAGATAAGTCGCCTTGTCTAGACATTTAAAAGAAAGGCTCAGTATCTGTTTTTGAGGAAGGCCAAATCTCCGAAATGCTTTATTGAGGACTGCAATACACAAACACTATAAAGGAAGGTTGCTTACTGAACCCATCTGGTTAAACTTATGCCTTCAATTCACCCAGACAGTCTAAGGATTGACAGCCCTGTCATTTGATCCTAGCTATTTTAACTGAAAAGCTATTCTTATTCCTATTAAATGTTTCATTAAAAAATTAGCTATTAGTTCATAATAATTTTCTATGGTAGCACTTTTCCAGATTACACCTGAAAAGTATTTCTGCTTTTCTCCTCCCCCAACATACACACTCATATTTTCTGCTCAAATTTATCTTTAAAATGTTATCTGCTACTTGGAAATTTTCCTGAAGAGAGAAAAGGGGTTAGATCCACATTAAATTATTGTAAAACTAAGCACTTTGTCTTTCCCTGTGGTTTTCATATTTTTGCCCTATGTTGTACAGTGACTTAGCTTAATTCTTTCCATAACCTGGAAGAATGAAGAAATAAATAGTATGCTGCAGGACCATGTGCTTTACTACCATTTTACCTAAAGAGAAACAAATGTATGGAATGAAATTTACAACAATTTTTCCACTAATGCCTCCAATACACTAAAGCAGATCATCGTGGAAACAGAGCTGTACATAAATTGATTTTTGTTTTGTTTTGGTAAAACCATCTTACAGGAAGAAGCTGTCCTTTAAGGCCAACAATTACTTATACTGCTTTTGTAAAAATGTGGACTTTCAGATTTGCTTACAGGAAGACAAACATGCATTAGTATCTCCCACTCCTGAATTCAAGGAGTTATGCAGCCTCCACTGCCAAATTCTAATCATTACTATTTCTATATAGAGAAAATGACACAGAGTGATTCAGACTTGCTTAGAGTCACTGAAGAAATGGCACGTCAACCTCAAGTTTCCCCAATTTCAGATCAGTGCTTTCTCTAGCAGATTGCTATTTATAAAACCACAAACATAAAATAAGGCTTACTGTGTTGTCTTCATAAATAAACCCACACATTTAGGGGGTAAGCATACATGCAGAGCAATAGAAACCCAATTACGTATTCCTCTGGTTTTCTCTTAGGCTTGTTAGTCTTAATTACAGGAGGAACATAATTCAAACACAATGGATGCAGCTTGTTCTGCTAAAACATTTTTTGGTCAATTAAATAATGCTTAGGTACAGTGTACACGTTGTTACCAACTGCTTGACTAATTCGGTGTTCTTAGCAATTTTATTAATTTTTAATCTTAAAATGTCAAGCAGTGGATTATTTTGTAATCACTGATTGACTTATATTTCTATAATTGTAGAACTGGTAAGACTTGCTATGAAGTGTACTCTTCCATTCAGTGTTGAGAAAATAAAAGCCCACCCCCGTGATCCAAGGAAATCAAGCAAGCTGGATATTACATGGGTATTATGAAGGAGAATCATATCAAGGCTATACTAAAGCTTTGGCAATAAAGTATCTCAACAGTAATATCAATCTATAGTTGTCACCAAATGCGTCATTTATAGCAGCTAACCAACACATTCACTGATGCATTATGGTACCAAATGAGACTTTTACCTTGCGAAGCTGCCACCGAAACAGGAGGCAGCTGAAGTGAAGAGAATCCAATGCTCCCATTAAGGAACTGGCCGTTTCCTCCGGAATTGGGGATCTGGACAATGCCATACTGGTTAATTTGCACTGGTGTAGTAAAAGTCACTACAGAGCCTCCATCCTGGGAAGCCACTGTTTGAATGCCTTCTCTTTTCACCTCAGTGCTGGGTATCAGTCCTGGGAATGACACAGAGACACTGGGGCTATAGGAGGTGGTGGCTGCTGAGTTAGCTGCAGAACTCTGGAGGACTTTGAATTCCTTCACATCCTGGGAGGTAGATCCCAGTATGTCAGTCATGGATATACCATTGCTCACAATGTTTGATGACATTTTTGGTGGGCTCAATGACACTGTCTGTGTATTTCCCACATTTAATCCATTAAGGATAACTCCATTGGGTCCCTGAATAAAAGAATTACCATTAAGGAAGACAGGTGAAGTACTTGCAGGTACCAAGCTTCCATTCAACAAAACTCCAGATGAGCTTAATGATATTTTAGCATTTCCAATTTGTTGCATATATACTGGCTCCATGTGACTGGAAAGGCTGAGGTTGGTGACAACATCTGATGAACCTGAGAGTGGGTGAGGAGACAAATCCTCATGTCCCTTGCTGGATTCATCTTCAGTGCTGGGATTGCCATCTGATTCACTATATAGAGGGGGAAATCAAGACATTGAGAAGGTCAGGGTGATGACATTTTACATAGTGCCATTTGTTCAGAAAACCAGCTTCTAAAACCATTAAAGGCAGAATTTAAGGAAAGCACAGCAGTATGTCTGCCAGTCGTGTTTAAACTACCAGGCCTTTCAGCAGATTCCGACCAGCCAGAGAATCTGGGAAGATGAACTCTCAGATCCAAATCATTTTTAATGACAGTAAGTTCAGGGAAAGTCCAGAGATCTGTCAGATGTAAACTCAGCTAACAGCACTTACAGGGGAATAGTATATTTGCTTTTATAGCATAGCAGTACTATTCGTTACTGTTAAATATGCTGCTACTTATACCACAGAAAAAACTCATTAAAATGAGGTAGTCAGTCTTTCCTATTTAGGAACTCCTTCCCCTCCCCTCAAACCAATTCAGATTACTGTCATTTTGAAGGTAAATGAAACTGCCAAAGGAGCAGGAGATGGGAAGTGCTCAGCTTTATTCGCCATTTAGTTAACAAGAGATCATTTTCTCACCTGCTCCCAAACTTCTACTCCACCAGACTGACAACTCTCTCATTCAACAAACTGGCTGTCCTTGTTGTAGGAAAGGCACTTTCAAGCCAAGAACAGTTATGTGCAGTCGCTTTTGAATCCAAAGAAAGCCATAAGGGCCTATTTAACACACACGGTCCAGGGCCCTGGTGAGGTGGAAGGGAAAGGGTATGGGTCACTCAGAAGCCCTGCCCCAGCGTTCTCAGTCCCTCGGTTCCAGGTCGTACTATTTCTCAGCTCCCTGACTTGGGGGAAATACCAAACCCGGGTTGGGGGGAGTAGTTGGGGAGATTTCATATTTGGTCTGAGGCTGGGCGGGGGAGTAAAGGGGGGTAGCGCAGAGGCAGTTTGGAAGCGCGGAAGGACTTGGCCCAGCAGAGGATCCTATATCCCTGCAGTGCCCTGCGGTCGGTTCGCTTTCATGCCGAGGGGAGGGGATTACCCAGGCTTTGGGCTGCGGGGCCAGGAGCGCAGAAAGCGCTTTGATTTACGAGCTGGGTTTGAGCCGCCGTCGCCGTCTGCGAAGGTGACTCACCGGGGGTGCGGGTGGGAGGTAGATCCGGAGAGGGGCCTCAACCAGGCAACTGGGCCGGGGGAGGGGGTGTGGAGTTAATGGGGGAGGGTGGTAGTGTGGTGGGGGAGACCCAGGGAACGCGCCCGACCCGGGAGTGGCAGCTGCAGGGCAGCTGGCCTGTGCCCCCCCTGCCCAGCAGATTCCGTCGGTGTTCGGAGCGCGGCGATCCGCGGTCTCCTGCCGGCGCGGGGGCAGGTGGCGTGGCGTAACCCACGCGCCTTCTCTGGGTCTCTCCGCATGTCTGCGGAAGGGTGCACGCACGTCGCGGTGCGTGTTTTGTTTTGGTTACGGCGAGGCCCGGCTCCGGCACAGTGCCTCTCTCCCTGCCTTGAGCGAGAAACGCAGGAGCCGTCGGGCCCCGCCAGGGGCGCAGGGCGGGCACGGCAGGGGGCGGGCCGCAGCGGGCTCTGGAATGCGCCCGGTGATCACCGTCACCTGGCCCCGGCGGGCTGGTTCCCCGGCTCCCAGATTCCTTCCCTGAGCAGAACCTTCGAGCTGCTTTCGGATTCTCTCACCTATCCCGGTGAGGCTGGACACACCATCTCTTTACCTCATCTATCAATACACACAGGCACACACACCAAGCGTCGGGCTCTGAAGGACTCACAAAAGAAGTGGAAAACCCGACATTTTCTACCAGAGGGGGAAAAACCTGCTAGTCAAAAAGTTCAAACCCTAAAGGGTGGGGGGATCAGAGGGATGCAGAGTTGATAGCGCCCCCAGTCCTTTCCTGCTGTCGGCCTTATGCCAGCGCGTCCCCGCCCTCAGTTACCGTACCAGGAGGGAGCCACGCAGTGTCCGAGGGCCGAGAAAGCAGCACTCCTGCCCTGCTACCCCGGCGGCGCTGAAACCCGATCCGAAGTAGCTCAGAATCAGGTTTCAAAACACTACAGAGCCGGGCCGCACCAGTACCCCACGTTGCCGCGTCCGCGGAGGGAACCACAGCGGGCAGGGTGAATGATTAACTCTGTCACATAAAACCTCGACGTCCCCAGACCCCTTCCGTGCCGCCAGACCCACCAATACTCTCCTCCCTCCAGATCAGCCAGCGCGACCTCCAGCGCAGGCCTGGGGGGCCGCCGAACCCCAGGGATCGGGGAACGTGTGCGCTCGCCGGGCCCGGTGTGACCACACGGAGGTGCAGACCCCGGCTGGTGCTCGCAGCCTCTGCGGGCCTCGGGCGGCGAGGAGAGCTGCCTTGCCGGCGTCCACACACGCTTCCTTCGCCCCGCCAGAAACCGGGAGAGAGTGGCAACTTCAAAGCCACCGGGATGGGGGTGGGAAGCCGGGCAGCAGTGACCAGCCGAGGTGGGGGCGGAGACTGAGACCTAGGCGGGCGACGAGAAACTTCTGGGGGGAATAGGGGGAGGGGGAGGAGGGAGGCTCCCCCGCCCCTCGCCACCGCCGCCCC